TACATAGCTCTTCATGGTCAGGCCCCTTCATATCTTAAAGAGCTCATAGTACCCGATTACCCCTCTAGAACACTGCATTCCCTGAATGCAGGGCTACTTGTGGTTCCTATAGTCTCAAAAAGTAGAACAGGGGCCAGAGCCAAGCTCCTCCTGTGGAACCAGCTTCCAGTTGTGGTTCGGGAGGCAGACACCCTCTCCACATTTAAGAGTAGGCTTAAGACATTCCTCTTTGATAAAGCTTATAGTTAGGGCTGGATCAGGTGAGTCCTGAACCATCCCTTAGTTATGCTGCTATAGGCCTAGACTATCGGAGATTTCCCATGATGCACTGAGCTCCTCTCTTCCTCTCTCTCTCTCTTTCTGCACTCATTCATGTTCCATTAATGCATGTTACTAACTTCACTTCTTCCCCTGAGTTTTTGTGCTTTCTCGTCTCGCAGGTTCTCATGGCACCTGGTGGAGCCTCCTGCCATGGTCCTGCTTGACTGCCATTGCCAATATCACTGAAATTAGTGTTGTTATTATTAGCGATCGAGCACTGACAAGTGCAAGACCCTATTGTTCCTCTGGGAATTATTATTTTTCTGCCCCTTCTAACGCATATTTGGCCCCCGCAATATGCTCAAAAAGTCATGAAAATTTGCACAAAATTCAAACGTATCAAAAATACCAATATGACATTGTCCCCGTGCACGGGCGACGCCAAACGGCTAAGCCACGCCCCCCAGAATCAGCCCCCAAGACACGTAAGGCCCACATGTACGAAAACTGGTAAGCATGTGTATCATGATAAAAGAAGCAGAAAAGTCTCGAGGACCCATACCTCAAACCCAACAGGAAGTCCGCCATTTTGGATTTTGTGGCCATTTTTGGCGATTTACACACGTTGTATTTGAACGAACTCCTCCTAGGGCATTTATCGGACCGACTTCAGATTTGGACACAGCCATCTAAACACATTCCCCATTAAAAGTTGTGCTCCCCAGTTGTTTTCGTTGAACATCGTGGATGTGGCGTGGCGTGGCGTGGAGTGGCATGGCGTCACGTGTCGTGCAATTTCAAACCTTCGCCATGAAAGAGGGATTAATCATAACTTCTGCGTACATGATCCGACTGCAACGAAACTTCACATGTTCGATAAGAGTCCCGCCCTGAACACGTCTATGTGATAATATTCAGTAATAGTCAGAGCGCCACCTAGTGGCAACAGGAAGTGTCACATTTGATACTTTCATGTTCTACTCCTAGCAGGATGATCAGATCCAGCTGAAATTTACTTATAAAATGCAAAACACATTGTTGATGATATGTGATGACTGTGGTGAGTGGGCGTGTCTGTGGCGTGGCGGGAAATTTTGATGTATCGCCACAAAACACGAATTTGCTATAACTTGAGTGTACATTGTCCAATCGGGTCCAAACTTCACTTGTCTGATAAGAGTCCTGCCCTGAACATGCCCATGTTATAATATTCAGTAATAGTGAGAGTGCCACCTAGTGGTGAAAGGAAATGTCATGTTTTTATACTTCCATGTTCTACTCCTAGTAGGATGATCAGATCAAGCTGAAATCTAGTCAGGAAATGCAAAACATGTTATTGATGATATTTCTTGATTGTGGTGAGTTCTTATTAAAGGGCGTGTCCGTGGCGTGGTGTCAAACTTTGATGTACCGCCAGAACACACAAAGTTGCTATAACTTGAGTGTACATAGTCCAATCGGCTCCAAACTTTACTTGCCTGATAAGAGTCCTACCTTGAACACTTCTATGTGATAATATTCAGTAATAGTGAGAGCGCTACCTAGTGGTGAAAGGAAATTTATTTTTTGTACTTTTATTTATATCTTCAAGCATATTGACCAGATCCAGCTGAAATTATGTGAGAAGTTCTTTAGGAGGATGAAGATCACATATTATGAATTTTAAGAATTTGCATGGAACCATGTTGCCATGGCGACGCGGCAATTTTTTTTTAAAAATCACACTTTTGGGGGGACTAACCATGCCTGAAAACTCATGAAACTTTGCACAGCATTCTGTGGTTCCGAACGCCGAGGTATTGTCTTGGTCCCGTGGATGGGCGTCGCAAAATGGCTTAGCCACGCCCCCCAGAGTCAGCCCCCAAGACACGTATGACTGACATGTATGAAAATTGCTACGCATGTGTATCATCATAAAAGAAGCAAAAAAGTCTCTTGGACCCATACCTCAAACCCAACAGGAAGTCAGCCATTCTGGATTTTTTTGCGATTTGCACACGTTGTATTTGAACGAACTCGTCCTAGGGCATTTATTGGACCGACTCCAGATTTGGACACAGCCATCTAAACACATTCACCATTAAAAGTTGTGCTCTTCAGTTTTTTTTGTCAAACCTCCTGCCCGTGGTGTGGTGTCCCATGGCATCCAATTTCGATCCTTCGCCATAAAAAGAGGGATTCGTCATAACTTCTGCATACATGATCCGACTGCAACGAAACTTCACATGTCTGATAAGAGTCCCGCCCTGAACACATAGTGATAGCGCCACCAAGTGGCAACAGGAAGTAAGTGCTGCGTGGCGATTTTTAGCTGATTTACGTGACATTTTCATGTTGTAGTCCGCACTTGTTACGACGGCACGTGACGTGGCTGCAGCACACCCCGACGGCATGTGATGCGGTCGCAGCACACCCCGACGCGCGCCGGGTGCGAGATCCCGTTCAACGCTGCGAGATCCCGTTCAACGCTGCTTGCAGCTTTAATAATTATTATTATTATTATAAGTATTATTATTGCTACGGTTACTGTTGCTGCTGTTGTCGCTGCTCGTTGTCCCCCATCGTTGCAGTTGTCGTCGTAGTCGTCGTCTTCTTCGTGTTCATCATCATCAGTCACTAATATTACTGTTCTAATTAGGATCTGTCCTAGGTTTATGCCTCTTAAAAGGCAGTTTTTCCTTTCCCCTGTCGCAAAGTGCTTGCTCATGGTGGTACTGTTGGGTCTCTGTAAATGTTTAAGGAGTTCGGTCTAGACCTGCTCTACTTGAAAAGTGTCCTGAGATAACTTCTGTTATGAATGGGTACTATACAAATAAAATTGATTTGAATTTGAATGTTTTAATGTCACCAACAACCTCAGCCGTCTCATTTAGACACTTAAAACACGTAAAAGCTTCCAAATTCACAAGTGGGGTATTAACTGACGTATTTTATGATGTAGAACAAAATGTGAAAATCACCTTATTTCAGGCATCTAACCAAAAACCCATTGGCTTTGAGGAGAGGGAACCAGAGTGGTTTTATGACTCATTCTGGCAGCACTCTATATGGTCACAAAATATTGGACAAGCTGAGATGAAAAGTCAGGGGATCACCAAATGATATACATCCTCTAGGGTCCATGAATATCTGAACCAAATTATGTGTCATTCCATCCAATGTTGATGGAGATATTTCACTCAGGTGGGGGTGTTGGTAGACCAACAGAGCGACAATCCCTACAGTCACAGTTAGTACTGAAAAATACATCACATTGCTTGTGTGTATATGTGAGGTTCCAGCATGTTAAGCCTGGACCTTGTAAGGCAGCATATTGGTGCTGGGGGCATGTTCTACTCTAAACACACTATGTGAAGCAAAATAGGTTATATAATATTGGTAAACATAAAAACAAATGAAACGACACAGACACACAGAGCAATTTCTTCAATATATTCTCTCACAGTAACATATTATGATTAATTACAGTGCAGCCAGAGAGCTGAGATTGAAGATGACTGTAATAATCTTTATATTATTATTATTATTCTGTTTAACTTGACACTGATAATGACAGCATCCTTCTGAAAGTTCAACTTAAAGCTTTTCTGGGCCACATGCAGCAGTTTGAGTTTTTATTAAATCTTCATAAAGAGGAGGTCAGCCATGTACTGCCTACTGGGCCCCCAGGGAAAACAATGGGCAACAGAACATACAGTGAATATAAAAAGTCTACACACCCCTGTTAAAATGCCAAGTTTTCGTGATGTAAAAAAATGAGACAAAGATAAATTATGTCCAAACTTTTTCCACCTTTAATGTGACCTATAATGTGAACAATTCAATTGAAAAACAAACTGATATCTTTTAGGGGGAAAAAGACAAAAAAAAAAAAACTTACAATAACCTAGTTATCTATCCACTGTAAGTGGCTGCCTATAGCAACAGCATGTCAATGGAGCCCAAGGTGAATTCACATACTAATGTAGCATACTAACAAGATACATGCACACACAACACACTCATTTGATTGGTCAGTCAATATTGCTTTTTTTTCTTTCAGTTTGCAAATCTGTAAATCACATGGTACAGAGGAAAGGGGGACAAATAAAAGAGTCAGTGAGAGAAATTGAAAACTCATATCTTGGAGTTATCTTTGATCAGGATTTGTCATTTAACTCCCACATAAAGCAGACCTCTAGGACCGCCTTCTTTCATTTACGTAATATTAGAAAAATTAGACACATCCTATCACAGACAGATGCAGAAAAACTAATCCATGCATTTGTTACTTCAAGGCTGGATTACTGCAACTCTTTATTATCAGGTTGCCCCAATAAGTCCATTAAAACGCTCCTATTAATTCAGAACGCTGCAGCACGACTACTGACAGGAACTAGAAAAAGAGATCACATCTCTCCTGTACTAGCTTCTCTGCATTGGCTCCCTGTAAAATGTAGAATTGAATTTAAAATCCTCCTCCTCACCTATAAAGCTCTTCATGGTCAGGCCCCTTCATATCTTAAAGAGCTCATAGTACCCTATTACCCCTCTAGAACACTACGTTCTCTGAATGCTGGGCTACTTGTGGTTCCTATAGTCTCTAAAAGTAGAACAGGAGCCAGAGCCTTCAGTTACCAAGCTCCTCTCTTGTGGAACCAGCTTCCAGTTGTGGTTCGGGAGGCAGACACCCTCACCACATTCAAGAGTAGGCTTAAGACATTCCTCTTTGATAAAGCTTATAGTTAGGGCTGGATCAGGTGAGTCCTGAACCATCCCTTAGTTATGCTGCTATAGGCCTAGACTATCGGGGGATTTCCCATGGTGCACTGAGCTCCTCTCTTCCTCTCTCTTTCTGCACTCATTCATGTTCCATTAATGCATGTTACTAACTTCACTTCTTCCCCGGAGTTCTTGTGCTTTCTCGTCTCGCAGGTTCTTGTCGATCCTGGTGGTGCCTCCTGCCATGGTCCTGCTAGATTGCCGTTGCCAATACTGTTGTTGCTATGCACCTGTCTGTCTGTCTGTCTCTCTCTCTCTCTGCCTGTCTCTCTCTCTGCCTGTCTCTCTCTCTGCCTCTCTCTCTCTCTCTCTCTCTCTCTCTCTCTCTCTCTCTCTCTCTCTCTCTCTCTCTCTCTCTCTCACCCTCTCTCTCTCTCTCTCTCTCTCTCTCTCTCTCACCCCAACTGGTCGAGACAGACGACCACCCACCTAGAGCCGGAGGATCTGTCCTAGGTTTCTGCCTTTTAACAGGCAGTTTTTCCTTGCCCTTGTCGCCAAGTGCTTGCTCATGGTGGTACTGTTGGGTCTCTGTAATTAATGTTAAAGAGTTCGGTCTAGACCTGCTCTATTTGAAAAGTGTCCTGAGATAACTTCTGTTATGAATTGGCGCTATACAAATAAAATTGAATTGAATTGAATTGAATATTAAGGTATTGAGTGTGTGTTTACGGTTTATTTTAGGTACTGAGAGGAAAAATGTCCCGCTGTAAAAAGTAATTAGCAAAAACCACAAAAATGGTGGTAATACCACATATGATGGTGTTGAGCCACCCTCAACCTCCTCTGTTCCTCATGCCTGGAGGTTCCTTCATTACCATGAACACACATAATGTAGTTTATTTTGACTCATCCCACATTCACTGCCATGCTGCCCATACACTCACTACTTGAATTAATTCACCACTAAAAATAGTCCCCAGTAAATGTACTATTTTCTCCTCTTTGAGTAATGTGACCAGTAGTCCTTCATGATATGAGGAAAATCTGCAATGTACAATAACAGCGTTCAGTAATATGACAACAATATGATTTGCCAAAAATAAACAAATATATTAGGTATAGAGTTTCTAAGTCAGCCTGGTCTTTAAATTCAGTAATAAAGATAGAATTTAATATTTTAAATAAATCAGAATCAGGTTATTGCTAAGTACGTTTTCACATACTGGGAATTTGCATTTGTACATTGGTGTATAAGAATCACAACTAGATGTTTCAAGAGCTGCAACAGTAATGTTTACAAGAGCAAAGTCACTATACAGTATAAACTCAATAATATCTCACTGTAAACAAATCTAAAATGTCAAAAGAAAACTGCAAGCAGTGATGAACGGGCCCTTGCACGTCGGACGGAAATGACACCACAGCTTAGCTGTCAGTGCTTGGGCCCTAATAAGATATTGTTTGTAGCTTGATTAAAAAACAAACATCAGTTGATGTTTTTGTTGAGCTAACTATTAAGTTGGAGCTCATGGGAATACACAGGAAAGACCACATCATTCCTGTACCCTTCTTGCCCTGTGATAACCATCGGAGACAGAGAGACCAGTTTTGAAGCCTCAAGTTCGGCATTTTGTCCACCACCATGACAGTAAAATGGTGCCAGCGTGAGCCAGCGGACATGCGGATTAAAAAAGATCAGGTGAGTTTTCACCATCCAGATCCAGAATTTATTTATTTATATCTAACATTTCAATAATTTTTCAATTCAAGTCAAGCTCCACTTTTTTCTTGGACTGTGCTCATCCTTGCTGTATGGCGGTATCTATTTTACAGTGAGGTGGCAGTAACAACTCCCAGCAGTGCTCTCTGATCTGAGTGGATCTGGGCATGAAAAGCAGAAGGGCTAATATTATTGAGCAGAGAAATGTGTTGAGTCTCAGCTGAAGTAGGTAGCGGATTCATTACTCCATGACTCAATTTGCATCTTTGTGTTATCTAATGCCATGAATAATGCATTCTGGGAGTCTGCTGCTCTGCTGTTAAGACACCACACAAACACTATGGATATCAATTCAGGCACTGGAGACTACACACATACATAAACAGATGTGAGTGACACACACAGAGCAACAAACAAGAACACACCCACTCATGTATTTCCTACGCTAATCTTAAAATAGATTTATCTCCTTTTTAACACATATCTGTCTCAGTTTCCACGCACGCACGCACGCACGCACGCGCGCGCACACACACACACACACACACACACACACACACACACACACACACAGACAGACAGACAGACAGACAGACAGACAGACAGACAGACAGACAGACAGACAGACAATCCCATGTGTCCTGACAAATATCCCACAAACATTTCACACATTGGAAATTCTGTTTACTTATCTTGGGGTGGATTGTGACTTTTGACTGAGGGCAGCTACACAAAATAATAATAATAATAATAATAATGATTTATTTATTTACATTTATCTGAGCTTCCATGGAGAAGACAGATTATAAGTCACCATAAAACTACATTGGTTCGGTTCATGTAACAGAGCTCCATCTGGGGAGACATTCTGATCTGCCAGTTACATTCACGAAACACTCCAAAATAACAGCCCAAATATGTGAAAGCCTAATAACATCAGCACTCCTTAAACTGATATGTAATCACACTGCAAGCTGTTTGCTTTCCCAAAAAAATGTTTTGCTACTGAACTAATGTCAGTCAACTTGCAAGCTTACAAGCTAACTTAAACTTAAAGGTTTTTAACTCATTAGAGTTAATGAACTCGTTACCTAATGAGATAACTGGCAGTAGCTGATTACAGTGTGTGCAAGAGGATCATCATTACTTCTGAGCTACTGAGCAGCTACTGATATCAGCAATGCAGTTGGGAGAAGACTGTAATCCACTACTGTGAGCAGCCAGAATTTATTTCCCAGTATTAGTACCTCCTGCTTGTACAGTCGAACAAACACAACTGGAGTCTTTTCAGGGTTGGAAGTTCGTAGGAAGACTGTGAGAGATCATGTCATACAATGGATGATAATGGTATTTCTGATAATGGATAACATAGCTAGCAGTGTATAAGATTATATTATGAATATTATGATTGTGCTGGTTGTAGTCATCCTTTTTGTGATGTGATTACACATCTGCTTGACTAATCACTAATCACTTGAATTAAGTATCACCTCCTGAGCAGTCCCCAGACTTTGGGTTAGAGGTACTAAAGACTTTTGGACTTCACAGAGAAACTGCAGCAAGCCTCCACAGTGTGAAGTCTGTGCATGGCAATATCATGCCTATTTAAGTCTTGAGTGTGGGTGGATTTCTGATTGGGCTGCTTGGTGCAGAAGAGAAGCCTGCAGCCACAACAGCCAAAATGTGTTAAGGTGAGACTGGCTGACAACTGACTGGATGCAAGATGGATGGAATGAGTGAGCAGCCACAATAAAAGGAGAAGAACTAAATATTGGGAGAGAACAAGATACTCTTGAGCCTAATTCTTGCTGAAAAACTAATCTCTACGCCTACTGTGAGGCATTTAGAGCAGATCTGAGGATTCGAGATCCTCCAAGAGGTATAGGGCCATCAACACAACTGCTGGCTCAGCAGTAACAAGGGATTTGGGACTGCTATCATTAGGAGAAAGCTCCTGTTTCTTACTGATCACCTGAGGGCACACACAGCACATGCATAATAACAAAACATATATTCACATAGATGCATATGCACTGGCACATACACTTACACAGCTGTTTTCTTTGAGGATAATTGAGCAGCAACATCTGGACAGGAATTTCCCTTCATGTAAAAAAGAGAGAGAGTTTCTTTTCAACTTCCATCTTGAGTGCCCTGTGTGTGCATGTGTGTGCATACATGTCATCTGCAAACTGTGTCACTTCCTCCTCTATCTCATAGATCAAGGTAACACGATGGATTCCAAATCAGAAAGACTTTCTTTGTTCTCAAATCTGTATGCAGTCTGGAAGCATAAACCACAGTCACACAATATCGCCACAAAATGCAACTACATAATGCCACCACATTATACAACATATCAACACAAACGCTTGAATTAGCTCATTGGTAATCCTCAGTTGCTTAACCACAATGACAACAAAAGCACCACACCATACATTCCTGCAGTTTACCGTCCTTACAATCGTCTGAGCAGTCAGCCAGCAGTTGGGTGAATGAGCAAAAAGAATATGGAGAATAGTTATGGGGCAAACAGTGGCAACTGATAGGAAAGCTTCTTTTTACTGCAAATATATACTGTATATTCACGGTTTATGGTTTGTGGTTTGCAAAATTTACTGTGTGTTCTGGGTAAAACCATGCATTAGGAGTAATACATTAACCTCCTGAACCATGTAAACTCTGTCAGATCCACCAGTGGGACCCATCAGCTCTAATGCAAATAGCAAAGCACTGTTCAAACCCACAGAATGTTTAAATTCTAGTCCAGATCTCAAAGTTTCCAAATGTCAGGCCAAATGTATGTTGTGGAATGTGTTGTCTGTTACACAAGACAAATATATTTATATCTCCATTTGTAATGGTAAAGTCATAACAAAAATGGCATCTTGGATTTGAATATCTCTCTCAATGTCAGCATCAAACAGAACACGTGATACTGCCAAACACAGCTTTCTAGTGTTAGTAAACCATTTCTGGCAATATAGCAGATGTAATTTCATACTTGTCTAGGAGTTTAATCAGAGCTAAACTGTGTATAATGAGGTCTTAATAATGGATCCACCAATGTGTCCAGCAGGGTTCAAAATGTTAAGAAAATGATTGTATTATTTGACACTTTTTAACCATATGTCAGGATTTGGAAATATAGGATTCAATGTCTTGCTCAAGAACATTTTGACAAGTGGACAAGAGGAATCGAAACCATTAATCCTGTATTTAATGGCTGAGCAGCTCTACTCCTACAAATACTGCAATGAGCTGTCCAAATCAAAAACATCCTTGTATGCTACAACGGCCTGTACACAACCCCTGTGTGCATCACGGAATGTACTGCTTTTTATTTCAGTGCCAATTTTGGGGAAAAGCAGCCACATTACTACCACTAGAGAGTCAAGGTCTCGCCTATTTTTCCGAGAGCCATGCGCGGTTCCCAGCAAAAATAGACAGTGAAAAGGATCTAGGGATGTCACAAGAACTGATACTTCAGATACTGATACTTCACTACCAAGTCGATACCAAAATTAAATTTTAAAAATGTGACGGTACTCATTTTTTACAGTACTGTAGGTACAGAGGATGCAGTTCTTCTGGACCTGACACCGCAGCATATGCAAATATAAAAACTCTTGTCGGCCGCAAGCAGAGCTTTCCTACCCTGAATATTTCATCAATCATATATGCCCACTATGTAGATGAATACTAACAAACCACTGAGGCCGTGGTATGTCTGTTCATCTATTATCGTTTCACAGCTCATGACTATAGTCTTCCTCCAGGGGAGACTGGGAACTGGGGGGTAATTTCCAGTCTACTTCCTGCTTTTGATGCTTTGAAGCACTTAGAAAGGGGAATGAATGGAAAGCAAGCTGAAGTGCATGTGTATGGATGAGTAGCAAAGTAGTGGATATTAGAGCTCTGAGCCAAATAACTCATTAGAGGAAATGTTCCTCTGCAGTTTTGACCTTTGCTTTGTTAACCTG